GCGCAGTCACTGCAGAGGCCTGGCTGCTGTTGCCGTGCTGCGTCTAGTAAGCCCACGGGCTCACCACTACTTTGGGGGTAGCGCGTTTTCCTACCGTCTTCCCACGGCGCTAGGGGTCCTAGTCACGAGGCGGCTGACCGTGGCACGTGAACGCGAGTCTGAAGAAGTAAAGCTTCTGCTTCCATTTACATTTTTAAGGTGCTTATCTGTCTCCATAACTTTATTTTGCTGAGATCTTTTAACTCACACTAACTTTATAGCTTTCAGTAACCCATTTCTTTTACCATGTAGTTATCATAAGTATACATAAAACCTATTACAGACATAAATTAGGAACTGTTTTCTCCAAAAGCAATACCTTTTGCAAATCAGCAATAGCTTGTTTTAGTTTCTTGGCATAATCATAGCGTTCCTTTTGGACAGCTTCCCGTTTTCTTTCATCTAGTTTTCGTATAATCTGTGCAACTTCTGGATCTTGGTACATATCAAAAGCTAAGTCATCTAGTGGAGAAATATAGTCAGATTTCCTGAAGGGAAGAAACACATATTTTAGAGATAATTTCAAGCCGTAGGAGCGCAGTGCTGCAGATGCACAGCTGAGAATGCCCCTCCCCACCCCGCCCCATCACGGTCACAGACATTTCCTGCACGAGAAAACCGGTCTCTGAGAACTAATGGGCCTCAGGTCACAGGGCTCTTAACTGCAAGCAGGCCTTTCTGACTCCAAAACTCACGCTCTTGACCATGAGTCAAACTGCACTCAGGGCATCTGAGCCTTCGGTGCATTTGCTCAGTACAGACTCTGGGCCTCGAATCTATGGCCCTAAGATTAGGACAGTGAATGTGAATCAACTGCAGAACAGGAAGAAAAACAAAACCAACAGATGGATGACCAAGCCCCACCCTGAGGAATGTGACCAGCGGGCCCAAGATGGAGGCCAGTGCGGGGTCTAGTCCAGCAGGGTCTCGTGGGTGTTCTTTTTGTGTGTGGAGAAGATAGATCATATAAAAGAAAGGCACAAGGACGCAGAGATAAGAGAAGAATTCAGCTGGGCCGGGGGTCCACTGCTACCAAGGCGTGGAGTCCAGCACTGGTCCCAATGCCTGGACATGCTGGTATTTATTGTATACAAGGCAGGGGGCAGGGCCGGAGAGTGACTCATCTGACATGATTGGTAGGGGCCAAGCAAATCACATACTGATAATACGGGGGGGGGGGGGGCGTACAGTTCAGGGGGTGGGAGGCACATGGGTATGCTGCCGGGGTCACATGGGTACAGTACAGAGGGCCTCTCCCTCTCAGGCAGCCACTGCAAGGAGGGGAGGCACACACGTCAGTATCTTTCTATGCGCTTATCAGGGAGATCAAAGGCTTTTAGGATTCCTCTACTCTTACTTCTAAGAATTTACAAGGGAGCATCGGGTGGGAAAGTGGAACGTGTAAGTGGACGAGGATGGTGACCATCGGAGCGCAGCACCACGGAGAGGTGTTTGAGCCCCCGGATGTCTGCGGGCCTGGCTAGTGTCCGACCCTCCTCAAGAGCCGGACGGTGCAGAGTGTTCTCTGAACTCCCCAGTGAAAGGGAAACACCCCCGCATGGCCTGCAAAGCAACAGGTGTAAAACACCAGGCTCTGGCGTTACTGCACGGCTTGCCTGCTAAGTAACGGGCATCTTACCTGGCGCTAATGCAAGGCATTTACTCTCGCCTCCTGATCACTTCTCACAATGTCCTTTCAGTTCCGAATTACATTTCACCTGATTATTTCTATACTATAAGGCTAAAAATGTTCCTCCACTGGAATACTAAAGCAAAGCTTAATAACGTTTGTAATGTAACGTAATAAGACTGAGCATATAATTGATTATGTGATTGTATCTAAGTCTAATTGGTATCATTGCTATAATTAAGTAATCAAGTTATTTGTTATGCTGGGATAGACTGTGCCTTCAGTCTCTTGCCATGGCACCTGGGCAACTTTCTTCCCACAGTTCAGCTACCATATTTTATAACACCACAGTATTTTTTTTTTTTTTGAGACAGAGTCTCGCTCTGTTGCCCAGGCTGGAGTGCAACGGTGCAATCTCAGCACACTGCAACCTCCACCTCCGGGGTTCAAGTGATTCTCCTGTCTCAGCCTCTCGAGTAGCTGGGATTACAGGTGTACACCAGCATATCCGGCTAATTGTTGTATTTTTAGTAGAGACAGGGCTTCACCATGTTGGCCACGCTAGTCTTGAACGCCCGACCTCAAGTGATCTGCCCACCTTGGCCTCCCAAAGTACTCGGATTACAGGGGTGAACCACCGAACCCGGCCTGTATTTTTTTCTTTGAGACAGAGCCTCGTTCTGTCGACCAGGCTAGAGTGCAGTGGCACGATCTTGGCTCACTGCAACCTCCACCTCCTGGCTTCAAGCAATTCTCATGCCTCAGCCTCCCAGGTAGTTGGAACTACAGGCGTGAACCATCATGCCCGGCTAATTTTTTGTACTTTTAGTAGAGATGGGGTTTTACTGTGTTAGCCAAGCTGGTCTCATCCACCGATCTCAGCCTCTCAAAGTGCTGACATTACAGGTGTGAGCCACCGCACCCGGCCAACATCACAGTATTTTCGATGAACATGGTAGGTTAAGAATTGCTACCACTGAGGTTTTACTCAAAGGGTTAAGTCAAATGGTGTCAACCGTGTCCTGCAGATCAAAAGTATTCCTTTAGAAGTAAGTGGTCTTTTGTAGTCACCTGAGTAACTCCTTTCTGATTAAATATGACCTCTATTCCTCCTTTCAAGCTCTATAGTAGGGTCTAGAATGTTAACACTAAAGCTAGTCTAACCTAGCAACAAACCTTACTAGAGGATGAGGGTCAAGAAGCCCAGCTGCTGTATCAACCTCATCAGACAAGCCAGTTGCTCACTGTGACTTGAACATCCTTCGAGACGGGTACGTTTTCATGAAAACATTTGTCATAAAAGTGTAGCTGGTGATCTGCATTATAATGAATTCAAGTGGGGCATGGGAATAGGCCCCTTTAAACACTTCACAGTCCCTCCTGGCATCTCCCCAGCCTTGAATTCACTGCACTTTGCGCATAGCAGCAGCACAGCCTGGCGGCTGGGACAGCACTGACAACTCTGAACTGCATATAATTACAGGAGTGATTCAACAGCGAAAGATTCTGGGTTGTCTACGAGATCACATTATTAACTATTTTTAGTGTAACACATATTACACTCTAAGTCACTTTGCCTTGCTGTCCCAGGGATGAACACAAAGACTTCATTTGATTATAAAAATCCTTCAAAGAGGCCGGGCACAGTAGCTCACACCTGTAATCCCAGCATCTTGGAGGCTGAGGCAGGCGGATCACCTGAGGTTGAGAGTTCGAGACAAGCCTGACCAACATGGAGAAACCCCGTCTCTACTAAAATACAAAATTAGGCAGGCATGGTGGCGCATGCCTGTGATCCCAGCTACTCAGGAGGCTGAGGCAGGAGAATCGCTTGAACCCAGGAGGCAGAGGTTGTGATGAGCCCAGATTGCGCCATTGCACTCCAGCCTGGGCAACAAGAGTGAAACTCCTTCTAAAAAAAAAAAAAAAAAAATCCTTCAAAGAAAACAGAATGTCCTGTGGCATTCCAGTCCCAGCTCCTGGTGACTCAGCAGCAGCAGCACGGAGAGCCATCTTCCCACTTTGGTACAGAACCCCCAGTGGTAATGAGCGGATTCCATGTCCAGCACAGGCCAGCATGTGCCAGTCACACAGCTTTCCCCAGCCCTTGCACTTAACCTTCATAAAACCCCAGGCGAAGGGCAGGACAGGCAAACCACAGCCTACCATCCCACTTGGCTGATTGGATTAAGGCAATAGATTTAAAGTCTAAATCAAAAGAACAGAAAGCGGCTTTACTGGAGATGCTGAGAAACTACGGCCTTCATCGGTTTGGTTGTTCCTGCCCCACGGCACTGGGTTCAATGAGGGCAGGGCCCCAGTTGCGGTCCCAGTGGTGAGGCTGGCAGGAGGAAGGCAGCCATCTGCTCTCAGCGCTCCTTCCCCACAGAGTTTCCAGTCGCCATCCTGAAGGATGGGAAGAGTACTGTCGTTTTTCTATTACGCAAAGGAGGCATCTGAGAAGAGACTGAGAGGCTGGTATTATTTTTTGATAGACATGACATGAAGAGCCTCTACGCTCTAAGCACTCCGCACTCACAGGTGCCTGTGATGGCTCTGGTCTGTACCAGGCCTGTGGGAAGCGAGGCAGCCTTTGTAGGAGGAAGGGCTCGCTGTCCACCAGTGCACACACTCAGCAAACTGCACACAGCTCCTGAGTAACTGCAGAGAGAACCCGCTCTAGGTTTGTGCAAACGGAAGAGCCTGGATCAAGAATTGATCACTTTATGTGAGCAGTCTGTATGCAGGTAAAAGTGAAATTACACTGAACACTGCAGACAAATTTGAAGTTTCTATTAAAGTTTAAAAATTTGATCTTTTCTTTATAGGGAAGCTGCTGAGACGAACCAAGGATTATTTGGAGTTCCTTTTTATTTTTAAAAAACTGATTTTTTTTTGAGACGAAGTCTCACTCTGTCGCCCAGGCTGGAGTGCAGTGGCACGATCTTGGCTTACTGCAACCTCCGCCTCCCAGGTTCAGGCAATTCTCCTGCCTCAGCTACCTGAGTAGCTGGGATTACAGTGTGTGCCACCACGCCCTGCTAAGTTTTATATTTTTAGTAGAGACGAGGTTTCACCATGTTGGTCAGGCTGGTCTCGAACTCCTGACCTCGTGATCGACCCGCCTCAGCCTCCCAAAGTGCTGGGATTACAGGCGTGAGCCACCGCACTTGGCCAAAAAACCTTTTTTTTTTTTTTTTGAGATGGAGTCTTCCTCTGTTGCTCAGGCTGGAGTGCAGTGGCATGATCTTGGCTCACTGCAACCTCCACCTCCTAGGTTCAAGGGATTCTGCTGCCTCCTGAGTAGCTGGGACTACAGGTGTGCGCCACCACACAGGGCTAATTTTTGTGTTTTTAGTAGAGATGGAGTTTTACCGTGTTGGCTAGGCTGGTCTTGAATTCCTGACCTTAAGTGATCTGCCCACCTTGGCCTCCCAAAGTGCTGGGATTATGGGTGTGAGCCATGTGCCCAGCCTAAAAAACATTTTTGATTCCTCTTTTTGTTCATTGCTGCAACTATGCCTGCCCGTCCTTCCCTTCTTTTCTTCAGACCAAGCACCTCTGGAATGGAGTCTCCTTGTCATCCACAGCAGGCATGTGGCAAGGGAGCCACTAGCCCAAAGAGGTGCCTGGGACAGAGACGGTCACTGCGGATGGCGCAGTGGGGCCCTTTAGCTCTTCCAAGGTGGATTCACCTCGGGTCCTTACACTGCTAAAAAAAAAAAAAAAAAAAGAGGAAGCGGCAGCAGCGGCAGCAAAATATGTTTTTTTTTTTTTTTGAGACAGGGTCTCACTCTGTCACCCAGGCTGGAGTACAATGGCATGATCTTGGCTCAAGTGACCTTCCTGCCTCAGCTTCCCGAGTAGTTGGGACTACAGGCGCATGCTACCATGCTCAGCTAATTTTTGTATTTTTAGTAGAGATGGGGTTTTGCCATGTTACCCAGGCCGGTTTCAAGCTGCTGATCTCAAGTAATCCTCCTGCCTTGGCCTCCCAAAGTGGTGAGATTACAGGCATCAGCCACTGCACCGGGCCTACATTTGTTAACATGAAGAACTTTGCCCCCATCTTTTTTTTTAAAGCCAGTCAGATTTCGCAGTGAGAAAGAATATTTTTAGTTGGTAAGAGAGACTGGTACAAATTGTGTTTTTAAAAGTGTGTGTAATACATATTTTTCACTCCTCTGAAGAATAAATTTTTGAAGTAACCGCAAGATGATATCTTCAGAATTGATAACCTGGGCCAATCAATATATTTGATTTTTACCTATGAATATGCCTGTGCTGATAAAATATCAAAGGATGGCTGACAGATCTTTGTTCTAAATGCATTTTAGGAATCTTCTAGTAATACCTGAACGCAAGGAACAAAGTAGTCTCTGCTGGGCAATAAATGAAAATGTGCTACATAAAACAGTGACCTTAATCTTAATGCAAATTTAAGACAATCCAATCAGTGGCTTATCCAGCTCAAAACTGAATGTAGAGGCTCTAAGTCCAGAATCCTTTGGAAATGACTGACACTTTCACGATTCTGAGGAAAGAAACAGAAGTTTATTGCCGGGGGAGCGGGTCTCTTACCTGGCGTAACTTCCTTCTAGAGCAGGGTCCTCGCTGTTGTGCCCAAGGTAGTGGTCAATCAACTTCTCTCGAGAGGCCTTTGGGAGCAAAACTTCTGCTTAGTGTCTCAGAGAGAAGGAGGAACAACACAAACCCTAGCTACAAGATTTACTTCATATAAAGCTGTCAGCAAGATTCAGTGATTCCCATCTTTCGGAGGGACAGCCACAATTGTTAAAGACAAGTTTAATACGCTAAAGCTCCCAAACATATCTGAAAGTTATTCACTAGTCAATTTTATGCAGATTATAAAAGTGATACTTTTTTTGGGTGAAACTAAATGACCCCCTTCTATTAGAAAAACATTTACTTCCTTAGGAATGAAGACTTTCCAAACTTACAGTATTGCTTTCGTCACTGAAATCTGCAGGGTCTCCAATGATGTTTATGGCAACCAAAGCAACCTGAGAAAGTGTTAAATGAACAGAAATTAAATATACAATGTCTAAAATGACTCAACCCCTTTACTTACTCTGAGACAGGGTCCCGTCTGTCACCCAGGCTGGAGTACAGTGGTGTGATCATGGCTCACTGAAGCCTTGACCTCCTGGGCTCAAGTGATCCCCAGACCTTAGCCGCCCTAGTAGCTGGGCCTTCAGGTGTGAGCCGCCATGCCCTGCTCATTTTTGTGTTTTTCTGTAGAGACAGGATTTCGCCATGTTGCCCAGGCTGGACTTAATCCCTTTATAACAAGCTCTGACCTATATTGTTATCAAATAGGATAACGTATATCAAAGTGCATTAATTCTTAAAATGTTGTGCTAAAGAATTTTTAATAATTAACAAAGAATTTTAAATAAGTTACGTTAGTATTCTAATGCTTAATCAAATGGTTATTTTAACCATTGAAAGGATGTACAAATCATAATAGCTAAAAAGTCCCGAAGTTTTAACATAGCTTCATAATGACAGGTCCACTCAAGATTCAGTGTGGAGGTCATCTTTACAGGACCTTGGGAAATGAGACGATGAAGAGTTAAATTAACACAGCTCAGTTTATCCACTTTGGTGAGTCTCACCTGAGGTGGGGAGTCATTTTTCCATCCTGCACCCCCAACCACTGTAGACCAACTGCTCAGCCAGGGCATTGCTGGTAAACACATGCAGGTGGGTGGAGGAAGGAAAGAGTTAAGAATCATTCCTCTGGCTTCCTGGCGCATAACGCTGTAAGGGGCCAGGCGGCAAGACTAAACCTTTGCCCTCTTGTCTAGAACACTTGCTTGGTCTAGAGACTTGATTTGCTGGGTGCTTGCATTTCTCTTGGAGGGGGCAGGGAGAGTTGTAAATACTTGTGCTAATTAAGATTGCTTTGGATACAATTGATTTCTACGACACTAATCCTGTAAGAAAAAGAAAGAAAAAAAGAAGGAAAGAAAGGGAGGAGGAAGGAGGAGACTAAGAATTAGTGGCTTGGAGTTGAGGGATCCTGGGCTACATGCAGCCTTCACGTGCTCCCGCAAGTCAGGAGGGTTTATCACAACTCTACTGTCCTGCACGATAGAAGGTGAGCCACATGTGTCATTAAGGTTAAGTAAGCATATTAGAAAATTAAAAAGAATCAGGGAGATTAATTTTAGTAATACAGTTTAACACATGTCCAAAATATTACCATTTCATCACATACGACTGATATAAAAGTTCTCATGAACTCCTTCGCATTCTCCTTTTGTATGGACTCTCTGAAGCCCACTGTCTGGTGAGCTTGCAGCAGCTCTGGGCACTAGGCCAGTTCCCCTTGGGCACTGACCACGCGTGCCCAGAGGCCGCCGGATCAGACGGCACAGCTCAGAGAGCTCTGCAGTCTCCCAGAGCAGATCCTTAAAGATCATCCTGAAAATGCATCTAAGAAAAGATACATGATCACATAATCCCGCAAAGAAGGTAGGTGCAGAATCAAAGGCGAAGCTGCATGCCCCTTACCTGATTATATATGTTGTATTTGTTGACATGGTTTTGGTGGAAAATCAGTTTAAGAAACTGTCCTACTGCATCCACATAAACTGACTTTAGTTCCCGGGCCTTGCAACCTGTCTTTTCGTTGTCACAGAGAGAGACGTAGCTGAAAGAACAAACACAACTAAGAATACACTCATTTGAAAATGTGCTGTTCAATAAAACTGTCCTCTCTTCTGATTGAACTCAATAGGCTTATTTATTTTATTTATTTTATTTTTTGAGATATAGTCATGCTCTGTTGCCAGGCTGGAGTGCAGTGGCGCGATTTCGGCTCACTGCAACCTCCGCCTCCCGGGTTCAAGTGATTCCCTTGTGTCAGCCTTCTGAGTAGCTGGGACCACAGGCATATGCCACCACGCCTGGCTGTTTTATATTTTAGTAGAAATGGGTTTCACCATGTTGGCCAGGATGGTCTCAATAGCCCGAACTTGTGATCTGCCCGCCCTGACCTCCCAAAGTGTTGGGATTACAAGCATGAGCCACTGTGCTTGGCCTATTTATTTTTATTATTTTACTTTTTGAAGCTAGACTACCCTATGTAGGATCATAGGTTTGAACAGAAGCTAAGCCTAGAATGAAAAACCTAGGAAAAACCCCTAGAACTCAAATTCTAATTAGCATTCTTGGTGGTTTTTTTTGGAGACAGAGTCTCGCTCTGCCATCTGGGCTGGAGTGCAGTGGTGCGATCTCGGCTCACTACAGCCTCTGCCTCTCAGGGTCAAGCGATTCTCGTGCTTCAGCCTCCCGCGCAGCTGGGATTACAGGCACCGCCACCTTGCCCAGCTAATTTTTGTATTTTCAGTTTCACCATGTTGGCCGGACTGCTCACCTACTGTTCTTAAAAAAAGTTCTGCATCTGAAAACTAGAGTTGAATAGCACAGTTCAGAGAAATTATAATGCTGCTTTTAAAGCATATTCATTAAGAGGCAAGTATTAAGAAATTGTGTACTCTTGAACCAAATGGAAGTACATAATATAAGACCAAAAGTTAAGTGAAAATTCTTTTTTTTTTTTTTTGAGATGGAGTTTCACTTTTGTTCCCCAGGCTGGAGTGCAGTGGCACAATCTTGGCTCACCTGCAACCTCCACCCCCCAGGCTCAAGCGATTCCCTGCCTCAGCCTCCCGAGGAGCTGGAATTATAGGTGCATCCTACCATGCCCAGCTAATTTTTGTATTTTTAGTAGAGATGGGGTTTCACCATCTTGCTAGGCTGGTCTTGAACTCCTGACCTCATGATCCACCCGCCTCGGCCTCCCCAAAGTGCTGGGATTACAGGTGTGAGCCACCACGTCCAGCAGGACAATCCATTTTTAAGAGCTTTCAGGTAGAATTAGCCTAAAAGCTGCCATTATACATTTTAAATTTCATTCTTACCCAAGTCTTCGAAACCGCTCTGCTTGATATGGTGCAAAATATTCAGGCAAGTTTTCGCTAATGTAGAACTCGATTTTACTTGAAATCATATACTGGTGAGCAAGTAACTGGAGTTTCCTTATTCGACACCTCTCCACCATTTGCAGGACAATTTCTTGTGGAAATTGGCAAAATCTGAAAGCAAACACGTTTTTATTCCTTCTGAACCATTCCTGCAGAGGGTTTCTAGGGGCTAGCACGTCATTCTTGCAGTGAAGAGGCATGACCCGCGCCGCGCTGTGAACTGGGCAGGCTGGGGCACTGCCGGGACGGAGATGCCCGCAACGCCAATTCCCATTCTCTCGAGCTTTTTGCGTCAGAGCGGGAGCTTGGAAATAAAATTTGACCTGATCCGCCTGCAACCCTACAGGGATCATACTTTTGGCAGCTAGTCAATGGTCTGACGTGAAACCTGAAGTTAAACATAAGATAAACCAGTCTTATGAGGCGGCACTAGTGGGCAGGATGGAGCCAAAGGATTTTCCACAGGAACCCAAATGCTTAAGGGCCCCAAGGTATCAACATTGAAGGCGTGCCCACCATTCACGCAGAGTGCTCTCAGGAGAGAAGCCTACACGATGGCCCACGCTGCAGCGTCTAACTTTCCTCAAAAGTGACATAATTTTTTTTTTTTTTTTTTTGAGACAAGGTCTCGCTCCGTCACCCAGGCTGCAGTGGTGTGATCATGGCTCACTGCATCTTTGATCTCCTGGGCTCAAGGGATCCTTCTACCTCAGCCTCCTGAGGAACTGGGACCACAGGCATGTGCCACTGTGCCTGGATAATTTTTATATTTTTAGATTTTGTGGCTGGACGTGGTGGCTCATGCCTGTAATTCCAGCACTTTGGGAGGCCAAGGCAGGCAGTTCACGAGGTCAAGAGATTGAGACCATCCTGGCCAACATGGTGAAACCCCATCTCTACTAAAAATACAAAAATTAGCTGAGTGTGGTGGTGCACACTTATAGTCCCAGGAGGCTAAGGCAGGAGAATCACTTGAACCCGTGAGGCAGAGCTGGCAGCGAACTAAGATCCCGCTTGCGCTCCAGCCTGGCGGCAGCGTGACACTCAGTCTCAAAAAAACAAGAACAAAATTTTTGCCCAGGCTGGTCTTGAACTCCTGGGCTCAAGGGATCCCTCCCACTCAGTCTCCCGAGGTGCTAGGATTACAGGTGCGAGCCACTGTGCCAGGCCCAAAAGTGACATAACATATGAAAAAAGCTAAGATTTGCTTAGAGGATCGCAGCAGTCAGCAAAGACCCCACACTACTTCCAAAAACACAAAGCTTCAAGAGAGGCACATTTGGGGCAGGCACGAACTGCAAAATCGGCAACTTTTGAAATGAAATTCTTTAGCCTTTCATTTCAATAAAGTGCTGCTTTAGATAGTTACTGCTTTTAAATGCAGGGCACGTATATTATAATTCATGATGAGATTATCTGAACATAAGGACAATAAATAATCTATTATTTAAAAACCTTTATTATTAAAAACAGCAACCACCACGACAACAACAAAACTCCAAACTGTTTAAAGAAAACCAAGACAACTGGCCAAGATTTGAAGCTGTACAGAGTCACACACTGCATGACACAGTGGTCTCCTAGGAGGACAACACTGTACTCTGATTTAGCTTTTCTATGTTTAGATATAGATACCTACCTGTGTCCCAATTGCCACTGTATTCAGCACAGTCACATGCTGTGCAGGTGTGCCGCCCAGGGGCGACTGGCCATGCCACAGAGCCGAGGTGTGCAGGGGCAGGCTGTTGCATCTGGGTCTAAGCACACTCCAGGTGTTCCATGAAACTGACTGATGGTGCATTTCTAAGAATGGGCCCCACCGTTGAGGGATGTAGGACTGTACTTTAAAAAATCCTTCCAAAAAGGGGCTATGATTAAGCTACTCAAATGTAGTTGATGAACGGTTTACAGATGAATCAAAAATACCTTTCAAGCTGAATATAAAAAGAAACCACACAGCTAAAAAGGCTAGTATTTATCCTTTCAAGATAAATGGACAGACATAGATTTTTAAAAATAAAACTAATTTGACAACCAAAAAACGGATGGTCAGAGGCTACGGTTGGTGCAACCTTTATGCTTTCCTGGAAAAATGTCTGAATTCTGAGGTCACATGAATGGCACTGGGAGTCTCCCTGGGTCTCTTGTAACCCCCTGAAGTGCCTCTCCTGGAGCTGCATCGATCCATGCCCTGAGCTCCGATGTAGAGGGTCCTACGTTTTCTGTGAGCTGTGGTAACAGAGCGCCCTGTCCTGCCGTTGGCAGCTCGGCTTCAGGCTGTCTTCCTTTGTCTTTCTGCCATGAGCTTGAGCTCAGGGAGTCAGGAGACCCCTGAGCCAAACCCAGTGGGAGTCTGTGGTGACCAGGGGCACACATCCTTTTCTTTGGTACATCCGCTGAAAGCATGTCACTAAAGTGAGTACAGGTTATGCCCTTTAAAGAAATACCATGTCAACACACAAGAGAACCATACTGGTGTCACTTTTACAGGCTTTACCAAAAGGGGTAGCTGTGTGTACACTCGAGAACCTTCAATCCCCACATAAACATGGAACAACTGCAGTCAGCGTACAGGACCTCTGCAGAGGGGATGCTGCTGCCTGGGAGAGGCAGGAGCAAGCTCACGTGGGGAGTCCGGGAGGAGAGGGCGGGAGCGCTGGGCTGCCCCCGTGGGGTGCTCCTCCTGCCCTCCAGCTACAGTCTGGACCCTGTTAATGCTGCCTGCACAGACAGCGTGCCTGTCATGGCCTGGGCCGTATCGGGACGCTTGCTCGCCAGCAATCCCAGCTCCGTGGGTGACACAGGTGCCGTCTGCCCACTTCTGCTTGACTATTGCTTCATTTCTCAGTTCATTCAGAACTCACTTCCGGGAAATGCGGGGACGGGGAGCCTTACTTATTGCGTCTCCTCAAAAATTCCAAAACTCCTCAAAACTCCAAAAACTCCTCAAAAACTCCAAAAACTGTACGGAGTTTCAACATACATTTTCACTTTAAATGAGATTTACATTCGATTTTCAGCAACACATCTTCGGAATAAAAGCAAGACACAATTATATGACTGAACTTAAAATGTCACACACATTTACACATTCGTGAGTTAGGAATGAACAGTAACTTGTCAGACTTGAAAGCAAGTCATGGAGAGCACGGCGCTGAGGAGGCGGGACGGGGCGGAGGGCGAGGGCAGACGTCGAGGGAGTGCATGAAGGCGCTCAGCTGTAAACACCAAAGCAACAGAGGCAAAAAGACTCAAATGTTTTAGGAAAATAATCAAGCAAAACACTCAGATAATGAACATTTGTTTTGAGACAGAGTCTAACTCTGTCGCTCAGGCTGGAGTGCAGGGGCCGTCATAGCTCACGGCAGCCTTGGACTTCCGGGTTCAAGCAATCCTCCTGTCTCAGCCTCCTGAGTAGCTGGGACTAGGACGGGAGCCACTGTGCCCAACTGAACGTTGTAATAAAAGTATACGTGTGTTTAAGAGAAATGTGAAGGACACGTTCCTGGTTAAAGCTTGGTGTCGGATAAAAGCAGTTAGACACTCTTTCATCACAGCAGCACCACTGCGACAGCAAACAGAGCTGCATGCACAACCTCTGCACGAGAACGAGAACGTGCGGTCAGCGTGTGGTCAGGGAATGCGGTTAGTTCCGGGGGCTCATTTCTCCTCCTCCTTCTCCACATCCGCACACTTTCTTAAGGGAGTGTGGGTGAATGTTGTAAGGGAAAGAGGGTCAGCACATTTTCTTTAAAAATCTAAACAGAAAGAGATGTCGACACTGTAACGCATGCTGACCACCTTGGTCCTGATATCTCAGTTACGGCAAAATCCGAGGCTTTGAGTGAAAGAAGCCCCGTGCCCTCCTCAGGGACCCGAGGCTGCCTCCCAGCCCAAGACCCACCCTGTCCAGCCCTCACCTCGGGGACCGCCACCCACTGACGGTTGGTGCGTGGATCATGAGCTCCCGGGCACTGAAGCCGTCTTCGTGTCCAGATGAGCTGACGACTACAAATCCGATCTTGTGGGGCATTCTGCACGCCTGGGCTGTTTAAGAGTGGGAAAGATTTCTTTAAAATGCAGGAATTCACTAACACGTGAACATTTAAAGTGTTAGTTCATGTCTTGGTAACACACACAACAATGCATTAACTCTTCAGACTTTTCCCATCTCTTTGAAAAAGCCTTTTTCGGTGGTTGTTAAACCCTTTTTACAAATGCTTCTGATTCTGTTTAAGGTACCATATAAGTTATCTTGACTTTTCCCAAATATTTGTCCAAAAAGTTTGACCAGCATTGCGGATTACATTCCCCAAAAAGATAGGTTCAAGTCCTACCTGTGGTCCTGTGAATGTGACCTTATTTGAAAACAGCGTCTGTGTAGGTGTGATCTAGTTAAAACGAGGTCCTCAGGGTGGGCCCAATCCAACATGACTTATAAGAAGGAGAGAAGAGACACAGCCACACAAAGGGGGAGCGCCACGTGTGACAGAGGCAGAGACCGGAGCGACGCATCTCTAAGCCGGGCCTGCCGAGGACTGCCGAGGCCGGCCAGCAGGCACCCGGGGCTAGGAGGGATCCTCCCCTACAGCCTCCAGAGTGAGGGTCGGTGCTGCCCACACCACCTTCCGACTTCTGCCTCCAGAATGAATTCCTGTTGTTTTAAGCTATCTAGTTTATGATATTTTGTTGTGGCAAACATAGTTATTGGCTGGAATATACACACAAACTTTCTGTATTAGTTAGAAAACGAATACAACCGGTATGTTAATCAGTTATACAATCACAAGGGGAAAAAGGCAATGTAAGCGCAGCATAATAACTGCTCGATGAATATGTATGAGCAGAGGAAGGGCAGGAGCTGGAAAGGCAAAGGCACAGGAAACACTAAAAGTACAGCAGAGTCAGGCTGAGGGACCGACTCAAAGGACGCTGAGCCGATGTGCTTGGGGACTCTGAGTTGCTTTTCACTTACTAAGCCAGTCAAATTCCTCCTAAGTAAGCCAATTTGAGTTAAGTCTAAATCATGAGGGAGAAAAATGTCTCCTCACTAAACCAGGATAAGAAGACTCCATCAGAAAGTTCTCTGGGGGCCTGGCACAGTGGCTCACGCCTGTAATCCCAGCACTCTGGCAGGCTGAGGTGGGCGGATCATGAGGTCAGGAGATTGAGACCATCCTGGCCAACTGGTGAAACCCCATCTCTACTAAAATAAAAAAATTAGCCGGGCACGGTGGTACGCACCTGTAGTCCCGGCTACTCGGGAGGCAGAGGCAGAGGAATTGCCTGAACCTGGGAGGCAAAGGTTGCAGTGAGCTGAGATCACACCACTGCATTCCAGCCTGACGACAGAGCAAGACTCCGTCTCAAAAAAAAAGAAAGTTATTTGTGATAAGATATACTATTAATTGAAATTCTCAATAGGAGGTAACACATAAACACACCCCCACATAAAACTTTATGTATTTTGATGTGTTTGATGCATGATCTAGATTTTTCTTTTACTTCCATTGAGAATTTGAAGAGAACCACTTCAATCTATTGATTATTGGCTGGCATTATTGCTAATGTTTCTAGGAATGTATGAATAAAAGCCCTAAAATAGAACGATAAACCATCATTGAGATACTGGTGACTTTTTCCACAAAGTTCACTGCAAGATGTTACTGTATATTAAACAAAAACTAAACCAAACCAACCCCGAAAATAATTTTTTAAAAGCCTCCCAAAACAAGATGAGGCTGGGTGTGGTGGCTCATGCCTATAATCCCAGCACTTTGGGAAGAAAGGTGGGAGGATCGCTTGAGCCCAGGAGTTCGAGACCAGCCTGGGCAAGAGAGTGAGATCCATCTCTCAAAAAAAAACCAAACAACAAACAAAGAATTTAAAAAGGATGAGTGTGATTTAACCCACTGTTAGCTGCACAGCCCGACCTACACTCCGACCGGCACTCCGGGCACCCTAGGTCAGAAACGCACAGTCCATGGCTCCTCCTCCTTCGTGACCTAGCACTTCTGGGTGGTTCAGGCTCTGAGCCCTTGGCCACAGCATCTCCTCTCACCCAGTCCCCACGCAACAGTGTGCCAGGGCTTAGTAGGCCTACCCTTCCTTCCGATCCCACTGTGTTTTCTAGACAGCAAGCACCTCCCTCAGACAAGTCCTAACTTCCTGCTGCGTGAACACGCCTCAGGCCCAGCTCTGGTCATCTCCATCCACGTCCTAACTCAAGAGCTCCCGGCCAGCTTCCCATCTAGGGATTAATGCACCAACTCTCCTGACCCTCGCTTCTTGTGATAAATTCTGAAGTCCAGCCAAATGATCAAAGCTCAAAGTTAACACCTTCAGCTCTGAAGCCCTCCATCGTCTTTCATCATCTGTTTTTCTTTTTGAGACAGTTTTGCTCCGTCACCCAGGCTGGAGTGCAGTGGCATGATCTCGGCTCACTGCAATGTGTCTCCTGGGTTCATGTGATTCTTGTGGTTCAGCCTCCCGAGTGGCTGGGATTATAGGCATGGGCCACCATGCCTGGCTACTTTTTTTTTTTTTTTTTAGTAGAGATGAGGTTTTGCCACGTTGGCCAGGCTGATTTCAAATTCCTGGCCTCAAGTGATCTGCCTGCCTCAGCCTCCCAAAGTGCTGGGATTACAGGTGTGAGCCACCATCCCAGATGCCTCGCATCATTTTAAGAGAAGGGCCTGTCACTCCCTAATCCACCTTGAAAATAGTTCTTGTGCTCAGGCTGTTGGGTTCCAGACTCTGACTGTTTTTTTTTTTTTTTTTGAGATAGACTTTCATGCTCTTGCCCAGGCTGGAGTACACTGGCGCGATCTTGGCTCACTGCAACCTCCGCCTCCTGGGTTCAAACGATTCTCTTGCCTCAGCCTCCCAAGTAGCTAGGTTTACAGGCACATGCCACCATGTACGGCTAATTTTTCTATTTTTAGTAGGGATGGGGCTTCACCACGTTGGCCAGGCTGGTCTTGCACTCCTGACCTCAAGTGATCCACCTACCTTGAACTCCCAAAGTGCTGGGATTACAGGCATGAGCCATTGCACCTGATCCCAATTTTTTTTTTTTTTTAAATACAGGGTCTCACTCTGTTGCCCAGGTTGTACTGCAGTGCAGTGATCGTATCTCACTGTAACTTTGAACTCCTGGGCTCAAGTGATCCTCGTCTCAGCCTCTTGAGTAGCTAGGACTATAGGCACACTACTTAATTTTTTTTTGGTAGGGATGGGGTTTCACTGCGTTGTCCAGGCTGCTCTTGAACTCATAGCCTTCAGCAATCCTCCCACCTTAGTGTCCTAAAGTGTTGGGATTACAGGTGTGAGCCATCGAGTCTGGCTAGTCCCTGATCCTAACCAACACTCTCTGTTATGGCTGTAAGACGTAAAGGTAGACCTTTTAAGTCAAGTGTGTTTCCATTATGCCGTATTGCCCCCAGTAAATCTAAAACAAAGCACTGGCATTTCAGAACCAGCTAAGAGCCATGCACAGGCACTGTGGAGGCAATGCTGTTGCCTCAGTCTGGTATTTGAGAAGGATTCCTTTTCCAGTCTACCCCTGCACCCCTCCAAACACCCTCCAGCTGTACACTATGGTCCCCTCTGCGTAAACCCTCAAGTGTTACATAAAATACTTGGATTGTCCCTGAAGGATGCCACTTTTAGCCTCTAAAAAATCACCATTAACAATTCAGGAAGAACTTAAGCTCTGTTGAATGTGCAGTTATTGGCTGGTCTTCCTCACCAGAGTCACGTGGGAACCCCGTTGTCCCAGGGACAGCCATCGGCATCCCCACAAGTGCCAGAGTGCATTTCTCCCCAAGCAGCTACGACTCCATGTGGCCTCATTCCTCACTATGACTTTGTTACAAGGCTGGAAAACAAAACTTGTTTCCGATTTTCTTTTTTTTTTTTTTTTTTGAGACGGAGTTTCGCTCTGTCGCCAGGCAGGAGTGCAGTGGTAAGATTTGCAGTGGTGCGATTGGCTCACTGCACCCTCTGCCTCCCGGGTTCAAGTGATTCTCCTGCCTCAACCTCCCGAGTAGCTGGGACTACAGGCGTGCGCCACCACGCTCAGATAATTTTTGTATTTTTAGTAGAGACGGGGTTTCACCATGTTGGCCAGGATGGTCTCGATGTCTTGCCCTCGTGGTCTGCCCGCCTCGGCCTCCCAAAGTGCTGGGAATACAGGTGTGAGCCACCGCGCCCGGCCAGATCTTTTTTCAAAGAAGACTTAAGTGTGACCAGGCGCGGTGGCTCACGCCTATAATACCAGCACTCTGGGAGGCCGAGGCGGGCAAATTACTTGAGGTCAAGAGTTCAAGACCAGCCTGGCCAACAGGGCAAAACCCAGCCTCTACTAAGAGTGCAAAAATTAGCCGGGAGTGGTGGTGGACACCTGTAGTCCCAGCTACTCGGGAGGCTGAGGCAGGAGAATCGCTTGAACCCAGGAGGCAGAGGTTGCAGTGGGCTGCACTTCAGCCTGAGCAACAGAGTGAGACTCCGTCTCAAAGACTTAAATGTTACACAAATAGTGACCTATGGTCAAGTCATCTTACCGACTGAAGGGCTTCAGACAAATCTAAAACTTAAGTGTGCAAAACGAACACAAAAAACCACCATCAAACCGTAATCCCTATCGGCAGAGCATGTTTCTTCAAACGTTCGCTCAGCAGAACGCATCTGAAACTGGCCCGCTATGTGCTACGCACCCAGAACAGGAAAAGCCGGGGCATGAAAATAAGATCCTGGCTAAACGGGCCGTCCCGGCCGGGACAGGCGCTCCCAGCGCCCGGGCTGAGCTCCCCGGCATCTGGCACGCTGGGGCCGCGCCGGCTCTTCGGCGACAGCAAGGCCGGAGCCTAAGCGCACACCGTCCGCGCTGGCACCGCGCGCCCAGGTTTCGTACCCGGCTCCCGGGTGGGGACCGCGCCCCGCGCCCGGCGCCCCGCGCCCCACGTCCGGCCCCGGCCCCGGAAGGTACCTGCTCAGAGCGGACGGCCCCGACTGGCGCAGCCGCGGCCCCGACGGAGAGGGCGGCCGGGTCGGAGCTGCGGAGCGGCCCGGGGAGGCGGCCAGGCCGTGCCTCAGCGCCCGGGCCCCAGGGGCGGGCGGGTCCCGGTCCTCGCGGACCACCTTAGCAGCAGCCGATCTCTCCGGCGGAACTCAGGCGGCGCCCCCTCCGCCGCCCCAGGCTGGCTTGCACCCCAAGCTGCCGCGGCGGTGGTAGGGGAGGAGCAGCCCCGGCCGCTTCTGTCCATCGCCCCGGCCGCAGCCGCCGCTCTCATGACAACCAAGCCCAGCCCTGGGCCGGGCCCTCCGCGCCTGCGCGACCCCGCCCCGCCTCAGCCGCGCCTGCGCACAAGGGAGGCCTCGGGTTCTCGTGCCCTCCCGCTCAGGTAGTTTCCGGGGCCAGGGCACCAGGGCAGAAGGCGACGTCGCGCCTTTGCTTTCCCGAGCCTTCTGGGTAATGTAGTTTCCGTGGGGTGACGCCTGCGCACAAGACCACGTCGGGCACCACTTTTCCCAGGCCTTCTGGGTAGTGTAGTTTTCGGGGGCGGTGCCTGCGCACAAGGCCACGTCGCGCACCCGCTTCCCCGGGCCTTCTGGGTAATGTAGTTTCCTGGATCGGCGCCTGGCCAGTGCCAGCTTTGCAGAACCCGCCCGGTGCAGACCCCTGCGGCCGGGGCGAGGAGGTGCCTGAGCAGCCGGCCAGAGGGTGCCGCCACCTGCGGGGCCCAGCGGCCTGCAGGACATCTGCAATGCTCCAGAAGCCCAAGACCGTGAAGCTGCGGGCCCTGCGCAGCCCGAGGAAGTTCGGCGTGGCTGGCAGGAGCTGCCGGGAAGTGCTGCGGAAGGGCTGCCTCCGCTTCCAGGTGCCGGCCGGGGAGGCGTGTGGGGAGAATAGGAGGTGCCGGCCGGGGAGGCGTGTGGGGAGAATAGGAGGTGCCGCTTTTCCTCTTCCAAAGCGGAGGGTGCGGGCGGCGCCCGGGGAAGGTGGTTTTCGTTCGCCTCAGCCGCTGGGCACCAGGGCCCCCGCAGCCTGGGGTTCCCGATCGTGGCTTCGGAGCGCAGGCGGGTTGGGGAGCGACCCGATCACCCCTTTCCTCTTCCCGCCTCTGGGTCAGCACAGCCCTGCATGCGGAGCCAGGAGACACGCGCTGAGTGCCACGTGCTGGCACGCGGGGTCGCGGCCGCTCTGCCTTTCCCTGCCTCGGCTTCCCTTTGCGTAAAATGAAAGGCTTGGCTAGGTGGGCTCTGCAGGCCCTTCCAGCCCTCGCAGCTGGGGATTGCAATCGTCACCTTATTTTAGGTCGGTGTCCTTTTTTAGACCAGTGCGAGGGTTACCAGGTGTGCATGCCAGGCCTGGCAGGGGTGGGAGTTGCCATAAAATGCCTAAAACTGACCAGTAGTTGGGACTACAGGCACGCGCCACCACGCCCAGCTAATTGTTGTATTTTTAGTAGAGACTGGGTTTCATGACGGCTGTGCGCTGGGGGTGGTGGCGGGGGGGGGGGGGGGGGGAGGATGGTGCCAGCTCCTGGAAGCAGGAGGGTGGCGCTGACAGAGACAGGCTGTATTTTTAATTTTTATTTTTTTTAATTTATTTATTTTTTTTAAAGACGGGGTTTCACCATGTTGGTCAGGCTGGTCTTGAACTCCCGACCTCAGGCGATCCGCTCGCTTTGGCCGCCAAAGTGCTTGGATTACAGGCGTGAGCCACCACGCCCGGCTGACAGGCTGTATTTGAAGTACCCTCAGGAGCTCATTTTAAAAAGGTGAATCCTGCAGAGCAAGCGTTGGCCACCTGCTGTATGTTTTTCCTGACTCCTCCTATTTTAGAAAGGCCTACAGTCAGGCGCTCTGGCTCCGGATCCCTCATCCTTGCCGGGGCTGACGCGCTGTGGCATATACCGGCAGCAGCGTGAGCCTGCTTTTTAAACACAGCTCGTAGAACCTAAAGTACAATGAAAAAAAAAAAAACAAAAAAAACCAAAACAACAACAGCTCATTTTGGACGTTTGTGAGGCCTGCAGTTGAAAGCCCTCGTCTTGAGACCCTGCCTCCTCCTGTCGCCTCTCCTGCCCCTGCAGCTACCTGAGCGCGGCTCCCGGCTGTGCCTGTACGAGGATGGCACGGAGCTGACCGAGGACTACTTCCCCAGCATCCCCGATGACACCGAGCTGGTGCTGCTCACCTCGGGCCAGGCCTGGCAGGGCTGTGAGTGGCAAGGACCTTGGAGGTGGGCGGGAAGCTGGCACTCTCGGGGGTCCTGGGAGTGCCTGTTGGGGTGGCGCAGGGTCCCCCTTACTCTGAACTCTCAGGTCTCAAGGAGGAAGCCCTCTGGAGTCAGAGCTGGTCAGCGTCACTTAGACGGCAGAGTCCTCAGTCCTCTCGTTCATGCACCCAGTTGCTCAGTTGGCTGTCTTTTTCTTCTAAAAAGTCTTTTAATTGGCCGAGCATGGTGGCTTTCTCCTGTAATCTCAGCACTTTGGGAGGCTGAGGCGGGTGGATCGTGAGGTCAAGAGATTGAGACCATCTTGGCCAACATGGTGAAACCCCATCTCTATTAAAAACATAAAAATTAGCGGGGTGTGGTGGTGTGCACCTGTAGTCCCAGCTACTCGGAAGGCTGAGGCAGGAGAATCCCTTGAACCTGGGAGTTGGAGGTTGCAGTGAGCTGAGATCGTGCCACTAAACCCCAGCCTGGTGACAGAGCGAGACTCCGTCTCAAAAAAAAAAATATTTTTATTTGTGTTCATTTGAGGTGTCCTAGCAATTCCCAAGAGCAGAGGGAGGGCTTTGGCGCTGGGGCCTGCACAGTTTGGTGGGGAAGGTGGACAGGAAGAGGTGCTGTTCTGTTCTGCTGGGCTGAGGCCCTTCTGGAAGGACGGGTTGGTGGCCCATGGGATGTTCACGTCGTTCCCTGTTGGTGATTGCAGAGATGCTGTCCTCGGAGCTCAGGCTCGGGGGCAGTTGCTTTGAGAGGTGGCTTTTTAGGGGAATCTGTATTGAAACCTCAGAACACAAAGTCCTGCCTTTCAGAAGCAGCTGAATGCCAAGGTCTGTGCTTGTTGGACTCTATAAAGGAGAGCTTTTGGCCGAGGTGGGGGGAGACGCCATCGTGTGCCCTTCCCTGGGAGGGTCAGCCAGCGTTGTGCGAAGGGGTGGGGCTTCAGGAGACACTTCTGGTGCCCAGGAAGGACGTGGGTGCTCTGAGGGATGGAGCTCTGCCTCCTTAGCCTAAAGGGCAGAAAGAGAGAAGACCAGGAGGAACGTGCACGTGGCCATGTCCCTGGCTGCAGTGTTGGGGCTCAGCTGTCAGCACTGAGGGGTGGCGCCTCTGGTGTGCGCCAAGGTTGCAAGTCCCCTTTCTGCACTGGGCCTTGTGCTCCCAGACGATGCAGCCAGAACGTGTATCACTGTGATGGCCCCTGGGGTGGCCCCTTCGGGGGCGGGGCTGGGCAGGGGTGTGCTCAGGGTATTCCTCACCTTTGGACATTTCCTTTCTTTCCCATTTCAGGGCATAGTTGCAAGAGAGCAGAACACGTGGCTCTGTGTCCCTCCCGGCACCTTCCAGTCCCTGTCTCTCTCCCCTGTCTCTCTCCTCTGTCTGTCTCTGTCTCTCTGTCTCTCCTCTCTCTGGTGCTTTGTCCCTGTCTCTTCCCTGAGACCACTCGTTCTCCTCCTCGAAATTTGTTAGACTCAAACAAATTTCGTTTTCCTTTTTTAAAACCTTGAGATGGGGTCTCACTCTGTTGCCCAGGCTGGTCTCAAACTCTTGGGCCCAAGCAATCCTCCTGCCTTGGCTTCCCAAAGTGCTGGGATTACAGGCGTGAGCCACGGTGCCTGGCCCCAAATTTTTTATTTTATTTATGTTTTGAGACTTTGTTGCCCAGGCTGGAGCGCAGTGGCACAAACATGGCTCACTGCACCCTCGATCTCCATGTTTCAAGCTGTCCTCTCTCCTCAGCCTCCCAAGTAACTAGAACCACAGGCATTCTCTACCATGCCTGGCTAATTGTTTTGTGTCTTTTGTAAAGATGGGGTTTCGCCATGTTGCCCAGCATAGTCTCACACTCCTGGGCTGAAGCTGTCCTCCTGCCTCGGCCTCCTAAAATGCTGGCATTACAGGTGTGAGCCACTGTGCCTGGCCTAAATTGTTTATTTAGAAATAATGATAGATTCCCAGGAAGTTGTACAGATAGGAAGGTCCCATGTACCTCCACCCTTTCCCTCACAGGCGACATCAGACACAACCATGGTACAACATCAAAGCGGGCACACAGACTCTGTCACAATGTGTGCGTTCTTCTGTCATTTCTCCCTATGTAGATACCTGTGACCAGAGTCAGGGTCAAGGCAGAGACCTCTCCCATCCAGCACTCAAGGTTCTCCCCTTTATAATCCTGCCTACCCCTGGCCACCACCAATCCCTAGCCTGTAGCACCTGCTGATACGTTCTCCATGTCTATAATTTTGTCATATGAAGAATAGTAGGTAGGTGGAATCATACAGTATGTGACCTTTTGAGATGGGGCTTTTTTACTCCACATAAGGCTCCTGAGATGCATCTAAGCAATGCGTGTCCATACTCTGTTCCTTTTTATTGCTGAATAGTATTCCATGGTTTGTTTTTGCCACAGTTTGTTCAACCATTCACCTGTGGCAGGGTATTTTGTTTGTTTCCAGTTTTTGACTATTACACATAAAGCTGCTATGGCCAATTATATTCAGGTTTTCCTTTTCTCTTTCTTGTTTTCTTTTGAGGCAGGGTCTCACCCTGTCGCCCAGGCTGGAGCGCAGTGGTGCAATCATAGCTCACTGCAGCTCTCCTCCTGGGCTCAGGTGATCCTCCCGCCTCAGCCCCTGAGGAGCCGGGACTACAGGGGTGCACCACCATGCCTGGCTAATTTTTGTATTTTCTGTAGAAACAGGGCTTCATCATGTTGGCTAGGCTGGTCTTGAACTCCTAAGCTCAAGTGACCTACCCACTTTGGCCTCCCTGAGTTTTGGGATGATAGGTGTGACCACCGCACCTGGCCATATTTCCAGGTTTTGGTGGGATGTAGGTTTTCGTTCCTCTGGGGAAAATGCCCAGGAGTGGAGTAGTGCATTGTGTGGTGTGTGTTTAGTTTCTGGAGACAAGGATGTCCACTCTTGCCGGTTCTGTTTAGTATGGCACTGCAGGGTCTAGACAGAACATTTAGGCAAGAAGAACAAAAGGCATCCAGTTTGGGAAGGAAAAAGTGAAGCTTTTCCTGTTTGCAGATCATATGAACTTGCATATAGAAAACCCTAAGGAATCCACTAAAAAATGATTAGAACTAATCATCAAGTTTAGCAAGGTGGAAAGATACAAGGTCAATATACGAATATGGATACACACTTACAATGAACAATTTGAAAATGAAACAAAATAATCCCATTTTTATTAGCATCCAAAAGAATACAATACTTAGGATAAGTGTAATGAAAAATTGTAATGCTTATGTTCTGAAAACTGCAAAACATTGTTGAAAGAAATGACAGATTTGAATGAATGGATTAACATCCCACGTTCACGGATTGGAAAACTGAACATTGTTAGGATGGTAGAAGTCCCCACGTTGACTTACAAATTCAGCACAATCCCTATGAAAATTTCAACTGGTTTCATTGTAGCAATTGACATGCTGATTCTAATCCACAGTTCATATGGAATTGCAGAGACCTGGAATAGCTAAAACAACCGTCAAAAGGACGTAGTAGGAGGCCCACATATCCTGATTTCAAATCTTAGTACAAAGCCGCAGTAGTCAAGACTGGCACCGGTGTGAGGACAGACACCGAGCAGGGGAACAGAAGAGAGCGCCCAGAGATCTACGTACCTGTGGTCAGGATGCCAGGACCTTTCAATGCGGGGGAAAGAAGAGTGTCTTCAGCAAATGGAAAGAATGAAGCCAGACCCTTACCTGGTACCTTATACAAAAAGTAACTTAAATAAAAGACCTAGATGTAAAAGTTAAAAATATAAAACCCTTGGAAGAAAACATAGGGGTAAGTCCTCATCACCTTGGATTGGGCAAAGGAGGCTTAGATTTGACACCAAAACATGAGCAGCAGCAGGAAAAACAGATAAAGTGGACTTCATCAAAATTAAGAACTTTGGGCTGGACACAGTGGCTCACGCTAAGAGGGGAGACCCCCCCTCGCCTCCTTTAATGTCACCTCCTCCCTCCCCCGCTTCCAGATGGGAAGGAGAGTGAAGAAAAAAATAAAATAAGATACCAAAGAGCTGGGAAACGACTCCCTCTTTAGTTCCCAGCGTCTCTGCTGTCTGTTAACCTTGAAAGAGCTGCAGATGAATGCCATCCCTGCCGGCCGGAGCCCGGCACTGGGTCACGCCCCCACGTCTCCACCACCAGGCTCCCTCCTGGAAACACCTCTGCCAACAAACGGCTTGTTGCTTTCGTCTTGTCTCTGCAAGCCCCCTCCCCAGCTGGTCCCCGCTTGCACTGCATATGAATTAGCAAATCGATGAAGTCAGATGTCCAGCAAATGGACAATGATATAGTTCTGCCTCAGTTTCCCCTTTAGCATTGTAGACCCATAAAAGGGGAGAGAAGCTGCAGCTCGGGGAGCTCCGTGAATGAGGCTGTAGCCCCTTGCAGCTCCCAGCCGAATCAAAAGCCTCTTCCTGCCTCAGTTCGGTGTTTGAGAGGTTTGTCCCCTGCTGCTCCTGCTTCGACACCTGAAATCCCAGCACTCTGGGAGGCTGAGATGGGCAGATCACTTGAGGTCAGGAGTTTCAGACCAGCCTGGCCAACATGGTGAAACTCCCTATCTACTAAAAATACAAAAATTAGCTGGGTGTGTGGCAGGCGCTTGTAATTCCAGCTACACAGGAGGCTGAGGCAGGAGAATCATTTGAACCCAGGAGGTGGAGACTGCAATGAGCCGAGATCATGCCACTGCACTCCAGCCTGAGTGACAGAATGAGACTCCGTTTCAGAAATAGAAAAATTAGGAACTTTAGTGCTTCAAAGGACACCATGAAGGAGGCTAAAAGACAGCCCACAGAATTGGAGAAAATAGTTGCCAGTCATGTATCTGATCAGGGACTTGCATCAGAATATACAAAGAATCCTTATAACTTAATAGTAAAAAGACAACCTAGTTAAACCTGGCAAAGGTTCTGAATAGAAATGTCTCCAAGGAAGATATTCAGATGGTCAGTAAGCACATGAGAAGATGCTCAATATCATCAGTCATGAGGGAACTGCAAACAAAAACCACAGTGAGATGCCACTTCATACCCACTGGGATGGCAGCCAGTGTGGGCGAGGATGTGGAGAAATGGGAACCCTCATGCCCGGCTGGTGGGAAGGCAAAACGGCACAGCTGCTGTGGAAAACCGTCTGGCAGCTTCTCAGTTACAGAGTCGCCATGTGAACCAGCAGCTCCACTCCTAGGTAAGTACCCAGGAGAAATGAAGAGACGTCCACACCAAAACTCGCACGTGAGTGTCAGTGGTAGCTTTTTTCGTAATAGCCAAAAGTTGGAAACTACCCAAGTCTCCAGTGATGAACACATGGATAAAAAAGTGTGGCACATCCACCCGGTGGAATCACTCACCATGAAGAGGAAGAAGGCACAGCGTGGCTGAGCCATGAACCCATGACGAGTCCAGATGCCAGCACACACAGCAAGGTTCCATGCACAGGAAACATCCAGAACAGGGATGTTAGAGACAGAAAATAGAGTAGTGGTTGTTTAGGGTTGGGGGCAGGTCAAGGGGAGGGGGATCGGTAGTGAAAGAGTATGAGGTTTCTTTCTCAGGTGGTGAAAATGTTCTAAAATGGGCCGAGCATGGTGGCTCATGCCTGTAATCCTAGCACTTTGGGAGACTGAGGCCGGTGGATTACTTGAAGTCAAGAGTTTGGGACCAGCCTGGCCAACATGGTGAAACCCTGTCTCAAATAAAAATACAGAAAATAGCCGGGTGTGGTGGCATGCACCTGTAGTCCCAGCTACTTGGTAGGCTGAGGCAGGAGAATTGCTTGAACCCTGGGGGCAGAGGTTGTGGTGAGCCGAGATCGTACCATTTCACTCCATCCTGGGCAAAAGAGTGAAACTCCTTCTCAGAAAAAAAAAAGATAATGCTCTAAAGTTGACTGTGGATGTGGCTGCACAACTGTGGGAATGTAATAAAACACGTGGAATTGCGCACTTTAAATGCGTGAATTATAAGGAGTGTGAATTATATTTCAATAAAGCTACTTAAAGTAAGGAAAAGAAGCCACCAAGCTGTATACTAGAGAGGTCGTCTTCCCTTTCCGCTCTGCAGTTTCTGTGCAGCCTTGCCAGCGTTAAGTAGCTTTATTTTTAGCCATTCTGATTGCAATGTGATGATGTCTCATTGCAGCCTTAATATGGATTTCCCTAATGGTTAACGATGCCAACTATCTGAATATCTTTTGTAAAAATAGAGACAGGGTCTCACTGTGTTGCCCAGGTTGGAGTGCAGTGGCAATCGTGGCTCACTGCAACCCTGAATTCCTGGGCTCAAACAATCCTCCCACCTCAGCCTCCCAAGTAGCTGGGACTACAGGCGTGCACCACCATGCACAGCTAATTATTTATTTTTTTTAGAGATGGGGTCTTGCTATATTGCCAGGTTGGTCTTGAACTCCTGTGCTTAGGTGATTCTCCCACCTCAGTCTCTGAAAGTGCTGGAATTATAGGTGTGAGCTACCACACCCAGCCCTAAATATGTTTTTACATGCTTATTTGCCATCTGTTGAGTCTCCTTGGTGAAGTGTTTCTTCATGTCCCTTGTCCATTTTCTAACTGGATTTTTTTTTATACTGTTAAGTTTTGAAAGTCACCCCCCGACCCTACCAAAATACCTGGACATGAGTTCTTTGTCAGATATGTGGTTTGCAAATATTTGCAAGCCTTGTGGCTTGTCTTTTCATTCTCTTAAGAGCATTTTTTTTTTTTTTTTTT